TTTCGTTTCGTATCTATTTTGTCTGTTGTTTTGTAGACACAGACATTACATGCCTCGTGATTTCGAACACCCAAGTTATTTGATTACAAGTAAATATTTATAAATATTTATAAATTCGAGCGTTCGCCTGTCACTCTGTGTAAGTTACATAATAGACAATATGATAGACTGGGAAACAAATGTTTCAACAAGTATTAACTACTTGATGTGTCCCAGTGAAATTTGAATCTAAAATAATTTCGTCATTAATAAACTGAAAATATAACCAACACATTCCTTGATTCACAATTATGATCATCTGACGTCAGCAGAAAGCCTTTATTATAAAGGCAGTTTCAAAAAGAATCAATTTTAACATTAAAGTTATTGTTTAAGTAAGCTTATGCTACTTGATAGAACGATAAAATTGCTGGTAATTTAGTTAATTGTTTCTTTACTTTCGTTTTCCATACTATTTAAATGGCCAATGATTACATGATAGATGTGACAATTCAATAGCAGCTATCTCTTGTTTCACTTTCCCTTCTATTTACATAGACAGTTGATTACACGTAACGTGGTTAACAATGAAACACAGATAATTACATTACGTAGGAAACCACGGGGTCATTTGCATAAATTAGTGTCCGTGATATCTGTCAAATACTTATCACCCTGTTTGACCGATATTTAATTACATTACCATATTCACAATTTCCTAATACGGACCCGCTGATAACCCGTTTTACTTTGTCGACAGAATTGAGATGTTGTAAAATTAGAACGTATCAGTATTTTGTTTACATGCCCATACAAGTGTTGATCTAAACACGGACACACGTGCCTACACGTACGTTGTGTATTCATGCCCCAACACGGACGGAACAGGATACAAATAAATACCGTTATCTTTGATTTATATGTATCCATTCTGTGCAGGCGAAGATTGTTTTTGCTATTTTTCATATTTATATAATTGCCATTAAACAATGGGATTACGTTACCGTTAGTCAATTTATTATAACATTTTCCTAATAGACAATGGCTATGCTATTACATTAAACTTAAGACAGTAAGGATGCACACAGTGTGACAAATTACCAACGTAAGACGAGCGACTGGCGGTGACAGAAATAGTGACAATTAAGTAGATAAGAATGGCTGAAATATACAAACTGGTGGATATGTATGATATTTTTTTTATGTGTTCGTCGATAAAGATACTTTTACTGTCATTGGTTTGCACATGAGATATATTTGGGAATGTATACCATGGTTGCTAATTACACTCAATTTTAAAGTTAATTAAAAAAAAGTATTACACTGATTTGCCATAGTGATGAAAAGTGACAGCAGATCAAAATTCGTCCTGCAAATGATCAGCAGTTACGCAGTGAACGATCAAATTCAACTGAGCGAATGAAAGACATTCGCTCAGCGAACGATCAAAATTCGCTCAGCGAACGATCAACATTCGCCCAGGAAATGATCAACATTCGCCCAGGAAATGATCAACATTCGCCCAAGAAAGGATCAACATTCACCCAGGAAACGATCAACGTTCGCCAAGGAAATTATCAACATTAACCCAGCAAATGAAAGACATTCGCTCAGCGGCGAACGATCAACATTTACCCAGCGAATAAAAGACATTCGTCCAGCAAAAGATCAATATTCATCCAGCAGACGAACAACATTCGCTCAGCGAAGGATATATATTCTTCAAGCGATCAATCAAGTTTTCCTTTGAAGAGGAAAAGTGCTGATATTGACAAATGTAATGGTCACCATCGAATGATAAAAACAGTTCCCTTTAAACGTTTTCAATTGTCAATTTCAATTAAAGGTAAAATGTGTGAAATTGTGGTGATCAAATTCCATCATAGTAAAACTTGCTAATTATGTAGAGAAAACACATGTTACAGTACAAATCAATGTTAATGTATACAGGAATATCTTCACGTAAAACACAGCTATGTCACTCGATCACCAGAATATATCATGGTCGGGGTCAGTACGGGTCACATGCAAATGACGAAAAAATAATTTGCATGAGTCATTTAGTGCACTGTACAAATATTTTATGATTTGGCATACAATTCTCATACACTGTAGGTAGGCATTATAAGATAACGCGCTAACGGTTGTTGGAATTTCTGCTCCCTGAGGGCCGTCGGGGGTCTGAATTATGCAAATGATGACAGGGCTGTCACTCTCGACATGTCCTTGGGTGGTGCATGCCTTGGTGGGGTGGCTGGGCCAGGTACAGACGTCCCCTCCCCCGGGGGGGGTCAACGATGCCACAGAATACACTTGATTTTACTGTGGCACAAATCCAGACTGTGCGCTGAATTTACACACTTCTAAAACGAAATTGTTTAACTTTAAAATAGCTCAATCGTTAATAAACGCTTTTGTTTTCCAGACTCGTTACATTTTATTTGTGCGAACGAATTTGAAAAAATCTGGAATATTTTACATCCATTAGTTATGTATAAACATGGCCGGTACGGGAGGTACCGATGAGAATTTCCAAATTTTCACACGGATTCAGCATATATGTACATTACCTTACAATGTACAAGGCCGGTCGCTGTTAAATAGGCTATATCTAAGTGAGATTGGTGACCTTTTCCGGACACGGAGGTTCGTCCTCGAAAATTAAGATAAAAAGTTTGGGTGAGTTTCATTCCTCGTTAATGGATTTCTAATAGGTAAAAAACATGTTCCCTATCGGGCAACACTTATATCTCCGTTCTAAATAGATGTCCAACCACAACTTAATAAATCTGTGTCGGCAGTTCTTATCCACTACATTAATTACAAACCTGAATGTGTAGAGACACGCTCAACTATTTAAACTCTCCCAATTCAAAAGTACGAAAGATAAACACATTTTCAATAAATATGATTGATTAATATTTCTGTATATTTTACATACAAGATGAGATTATCAGCGATTTAGCTAACGATTCTCATCTTTATAAAGTACACGTGATGTATTTAATATATTGTATCTAGATTTTCCAACTGTCACTGATTTCCGGAAACCATGTACCCCTGATTTTTATTTGACTTTACCTTACTCAGTAATATTTGTGTATATATATCCGGTAACATTATGCAATAGTGATATATAGAATTGAGTTTTGTTACATTAATTTACTGACAAAACTATAAATAATGAAATAATTTCAATCCTTCATCTGGAAGACATGGTGTCTCCGGTTTTTTTTTTGAGGATGGGGGGATGGGGGGGGGGGGGGGGGGGGGGGGGGTCTGCGGTATGTATGTTTAAAATACATAGTTTTCAAACTGTTTATCGAGTAATAAATTGAAAACTGCATTATAAACAGTATTCTCCACTCCTCCCCAACACTCGACCATACTCGCTAGATCGGCACTGAACACCTAGGTATTTACTTGAGGTATAGGAGAGTGTAGACCCTCTTAGACGCTTGAAGGTTCTCTTCACACTAAAAACAATGTGTTTTCGCGTGAATTTTTGTTTGCCAATGGCCAAATGCACGGATTAGAAATACTTAACATATATAGCTAAGTCAACGATTCGTGGCCACCATAGGACTTGAGTCTGAGTAAACATATAACAAGCTAGTCCAGCACCCCCGCGCCACAACACAAGAACCTTATGGTGTATGGGTGAAAGGGGACCCACAAACCAAAGCAAAGTTGGTCAAATATTGTGATAGAACGTTATTTATTTTTCGCCAATTTCTATATACATAACGACGTATATGGTGACCAAGTTTATACCCGCTATATATATATAGTGTGTGTTATGTCCACTGACCGCTCCAAGTGACCACAGCGGCCGGGTAGACTTTAGGCAGGGAAAACAAATATTGTTTCAACAAGGTGCTCGGTAAAGAAACGCTATTCTTTGCGGTTACGGATAAGTTCTTAAGAAAATTTATACATTTATAATCCGCGTGTATGATATTCAATGACGACCAACTTGTCAGTGTTTTATCGGTAAAGTATGAAGTGATTTCCACCCACCTTTATGTTTATTTAAAAATATTATTTCGAATACAGAAAACCGTATTCAGTATACGATTTTACATATTTTTATAACATCAATTTATTTCTTACGTAGAGAAAAAATGATACCCTTTCGGGTTTGTAATAAATAACTAATTCATAGATGAATCAAAATATTATACATATTACGAAATGGCATGATCCTCATTAAATTATAACCTAATTATCTTTAAAGTTTAATATTTTATCTAACCTGTCGAAAAGACTCAATTTAAAGGGGAACGGATGCATGTATATAGATACTGAACATGTTTGTAGTGTAAAGAGGCAACACTACAAAATACTGCGTTGCTGTTCATTTTGTTTCAGCTTCAATAATAATTTCTAGAAATCTTCGCTTTCTGGTATCAATATCGACCGCAGAGAGTTGGACACGCCCATTATTCGTCCATGCAGCCGTAGGCTCAGGGACTCGTATTGATTGACGGCGCGAAGTCGTCTAAGCCACGCCTACTCCAAGGGTGCCTTACAAGTCTTATAACATGAAACGGTACACGCTGGTTTCACCAATAAAAAGCTGACAATACGCGAGAGGGACCTACCCCAACCGGCTGTTATTGATGGCCCACACCACTTATACATACACAGCCAGCCACAGCTCAACATTCTAAAGTGAAAACGGGGAAAAAACTCCGGATTGACAGACTACAGGGAGTTGTCATTTAGCCAAAAATTGTCTACATGTTTGTGAAGTCCAACAGCGCCTATAGACTGGACCTAATGCTACTCTAACCAGGAAATAACACGGTTTATCTGGGAAGACAACTTGGACAACTACAGCCGGAGTTGGAATAGTGTTATGCTTATGTTTATTGTAACTAGTGTCACTTGTAATGCCAATTCTGTATAGGCCTACGACTACATACCCGGACATCACAGAACAAGCTATCCGGGAAACATCGACAGAATCCATACCACTAAGGAACAGCAGACAGTGGCTTTAATTTCGTTTTCCTGCTTTTTGTGATATTTTCATCTTTCCACCCGCCGAGCTGTGGGTGTCTGCCCCACCCTCAGGCCCGTGGGTGTCCTACCCACCCGTTTCCCCGTGGGAGCTGGCCCCACCGATCACACTGGCGGTTGGAGGTAAGAACGCCGCGGTGCAGTGCGCCGGGTGTGAACGTCCCATACTGGATCGCTTCCTGCTAAATGTCCTGGACAGGGCATGGCACGTGAAATGTGTCCAGTGCTCGGACTGTCGCTGTCCGCTCACGGACAAATGCTTCTCCAGGGATGGGAAACTCTACTGCAGAACAGACTTTTTCCGGTACGTATTTGTCAACGCCAAAATCAAACAAGTCCGAAACCTAACCCCGGAAAGTCTAGTTTCGGTTTGTCCGATACCGGCTTTCCTTTTTCCGTCTCCGTTTTTTCATATAATGTTTCTTTTTTTCTTCTTCTAATACTTTGTTTTTTAATTACTTTTTGTAACTATAGATTAAAGCTTCTTGTCATAAAACTGACATATTTATTGCCGATTACGACCAATCATTTGATAACAATGTTTTTAGTAAATGCGATTATTGTAATGCCAATCTGTATTAATTGTAATCAATACATAATAATATAGGAACACGCGACGGTAAAGATGACACGGGTATCAAATAAATCTACTTGAATATTTGCTCTATTGACATTATAATCAATCAAGCAATAACTGTTATTATTATTTTCTACAAACTGCACATGGGTTTTTATTGAGTTTTAGCCATTTTGGTCCAAAAAATTATTTAAATTTAATAATATAACAAGAATAAGAATGTATATATATATATATTTAATATGATGTGGCACACACCTGCAAGTGGTACACATTTATAGCTATTATAAATCTTATAATATTATAATATTCAATATACATTAAGGAAACCCCTATGATAACTGTAAAGCTATCATTTTATTTCCAACACATTGCTATTTTAAAGCTGTCAAACATCCACACACGTGCAGCTTATATCTATACTAGATTATGAGTTCTCTCGATACTTTGGGGAGCATTCATTATTCACGTTCGCGACACATCTCTGATTCGCTCCGTTACGTTTGAACGGTATATTAGGCCTTGGACGTGCGTAAGTATCTGTAAAATCTAGCTGTTCTCTACAAAATCCTGTAAATTATTTACACACTCCTTCTCGCCTTCTACCAAACCGTTTTAACAGATCAATTTTTCAACTACTATAACCCTTCATATTTGCACCCTATGTAAATATGTAAAGTCTTCACAAGGGGAAAAAGGGCCAGGTCTCTCTCACAATTTCAAACTTTGCAAACGATTTTAATTCCTGATAAAATACAAGCACAGACATTCTACTTCAAATATCTGTCATTGTCCGGGATTTAATTAGGTTTGTTAATCAGAAATGATAAGGCTTTACTTACCAGGGAAAAAATCTCGTGCGCAATAACCATGTTTGACTAGCCCTAATAAATAGAGTGGGGATTTGTTAGAAGCTCACTTCTCTAATTGTCAGGTACTGCAGACAACTCTCAACAAATGATATAGAATTTCCGATTGACAATAACCGGCGGATGGGCTAAGTGTATTCTAGGTCAATATCACGCTTAATATTGTCAGTTTTATCGACAAACACATTCATTCTTGTTTCAAAAAATTAAAGAACATAATTGAACGGAATGAAAATCTCTTTATTCTTTTGTGTATTTTATTTTTTTATTTAAAGTTCGATATCATGCATTTATCTTGTCGGATGTCTAACTTTACCGTGAGGTTAGATACTCCAGTCAGACTTAATTGTATTCGACAGGATGTAGACGTACAGATGTATGGTATAGGTTTCGGATATGTTACCTATAACGTCGAATTTAACTATGTATGGATCATTTCTTTAATACATACCTGAGGACCGTCTTTCTGATAGATGCCTGTGCACAAACGATAGAAGATAAGGAGAGATTTGAACTTGAAATAAAAACCTTAGCATGGCTCTAATTGCATAGACTATATCCATATTTCATCAGTAAAAGAAATAACCCCGCGTTTAAATGTTAAAATTTTAAAGTTTTTTATAATGTATAGTAATGTCTACCTAATAATTTCTTCTTTTTAAAACAAAACCCACATTTGTAGAGGATGAAAGAGAATCAAGTTGATGTAAAATATCTATTCCAGATATTACATATCTTTTTTAAATAAACAAAGCATGCAACTAAATTATTTGATTTTAAATGATCCGTTGTTTAAATAATATTTAGATTTAAAACAACATTTGTTTAAGAGTAACTAAAAATTAGATATGTAATGCAATATTTATATCTAAATATTTGATGTGAAATATTATACTGTATTTTGCTGTATACCATAGCTCAAATAAACCTATAACGTTTTCACTTCTTAATTTTCTGAAAAAGTTTTAGTCTAGATTTAATAAAGATAAATACAAACATTCCTTTTTTTTTGTTATTATACATTAAAACAACATAATAGAATTTCAACTTTTCAAGTCGTACTTGCTGCTTTGAAGGGATTTTGGAATACCGTTATAATTTACCTGTGTATTGTTGTCGCACCTGTAGAAATCGATCACAGATTTTACTCATCAATGTTTCATTGAGAGTTGATCGGAAATCAATTATTGTGTAGCTAGTAAACATCCGTTTGTGAAGTACAAGATAACATCACGAATGTTTTAACGCCTGTAGTAGCTAATAACGGAAACATTTAGCACAGCAAGGCAAGTGTATATTCAAAATTTCGAATCCATAGTATGGTAGTAATGGATTTTTTTTTATACAATGTGAATTTATTTCTTATCGTTTAAATAACAATTTATGAATGAATATTACTTCCTAAACATTTCAATAGTGTTTAATAGTACAGGCGGTACAGGCAGGGTTCTTGTGTTTAAAGTATAGGTGCGTTACAGCTATTTAAGACATGTAACTTTAGTTCAGAAGTTTTGTATCTATTTGTATCGCTAAAGTTTCCTATTTATTACTGTCAAGAATTTAAATAAAATTGTATTACGGAAATGGATTTAAATTTAATTGTGTATCTCCCATGGTGGTATTACAGTTTCAAATTTTTTTTTCTACCGACTAAAACAATTTTAAATACATAAAATTGAAGGTGAAAAATCATTTTTTGTTACTATTTTTATCATGTCTATAAAAAGCGAAATTTTATTTTGGATATGAAATAAGGAAATGTTGTAACTAAGATGTGCTGAGCCATTTGACAGATGTAGTGATTTATATGGAGAGAGTGTACGCCTGTTGAAGCTATGATGAACTACATTCCTGTATTCTTACATTTCAGACGATTTGGAACCAAGTGTGCCGGTTGTACCCAAGGAATATCTCCAAATGATCTAGTGAGACGCGCCAGAAACAAAGTGTTCCATTTAAAATGTTTCACGTGCATGATATGCCGAAAACAACTGTCGACCGGGGAGGAACTGTATATAATGGACGAGAATAAATTCATTTGTAAAGAAGATTATATTAGCAGCAAATGTCAAGGTAATACCATTTTACATATATAATTTATCGCACATTTATATTTAGTCAATTTACAACATTATTTCAAACTTTGATTTTTTAGATTTACCTAAATGAACTCTAAGTCGTATATAACGGTCAGATTTTCCGGATAAAGGTGCCACCACATGCTCTTGTTACAAATGGCGGATGTTTGATTTGGGGTGCTGAAATGATACGTACAAGGTGTCGGTCTAACACTTTCTGCGTGTAAGCGCCTGAAAGTAGAAATATACAAGTTCCTACTACAATCTCTAGCGTGTTCATTGATTATTCAGACTTCGACAGGTCTTAAATCACACAGCATTAGTTTTCTACGTGTATTTGGCTATCAAAACAGTGAAATATTTATTATCACGAACTAAAATATACTTTTAGTAATATATCCATTTGGTATAAATATCTTGTTTTAAAATACTTAGTTCGCTCTTTCATTGATTATATTCCTTATCTAATGGCGAATGCACGACCAGATAAATATTTATTTTTTAAAATATTTATTTCTAGTTTTCCTGTTTCGGAAACTGTTTCGGTCAAGTCTGATTTCTGCTTGGCCATCCGCGCCTGCACGTGCGTGGTTTACGAGTACAGTATAGAAGTTTGGTAAATGGTGAACGTTTCGGACCCTGTTTATTATGAACTACCCTCAAACCTCCACCTATCTGTCCGTCCCCCTCCTCGTCTGACAGCACTGTAGATAAAAAGGCTTATAACTGTATATTTCGGGCCAGATTATCGCAGCTGTAAGCTCTATAGTAAATTCCTATTAATCCCTTTCAACATATTACAGACTGCCTCAAGTATGCGAGGAAACAGTTTTCACGTAAACTTAGAAACATGTCTGATAATAGATGCTATGCTATTTAGGCGTAAGAAAACTCCGTAATCGTTTGTTTTTATTTATAACGGTTGTGTTTTGTATTTCGAGGGGAACGAACCCAAAACATTAACGCTATGTGATGTTGAATTATTAATGGTAGTACAGAATTAATTGATACCTGTCACGTGATCCACAGTCAATCAATAGGTGTCCCTAGGTTAGGATACGTGATTAATTGAAGATATGCGCAGGTGTTCTATCTAAATGGCGAAATAATCTATGTCAAGCTCATGGCTGGCTTTCCGGAATATATAACACAGGTTTTTCTTCCTATAATATTTTGTGGGCATTTGATAAGTAACATATATAGAATATTGTTTACTATATAGCGCTGTGTAATTTTAAAGATATTATAACTTCTGTAGCTAAGCGGTATCAAAAATGGATAATGATATTATTATAGTATATTTAATATTGATTCGATACCGAAAAACATCACAAGTATACAAAGAGCTATTATTTCATTGCGTCCCTAAATTCATTAAACGGTGAAAGCATAAACAAAGAGCAAACCTGTTATGTTTGCCAATATTCAATTTTTCATCACATATTTATGAATATTATTTAGATAAAATATTCTCTCTAATCTTTTTATAGACAAATGAACCTCTGAAAAAAGTGATTGTTTTATTTATAAAACGTTAAATAAACATGCTTGAATTCCAATCACATAGGAAATGTTTGGAAGTTTTGAATAATTTATAATTGTAATTAATGTTTCAACGCCTAGAGCCAAGACTAGCTGGTTATGTGTGGATGTATTAAATATATAAGTTGTTGTGTTTTACAATTGTATGTATGTGGGGGTTTTCCGTTGTGTTCGGTGCGTGTAAGATGTCCTGTGTATCATGTGTGTAATTTTCTCTTCGTTCTGGCTATCTTCTCTCGCTCACCACAGTCCACTTTATCATCATTATCGTCACATAATCGCCATTTCCTCACATTTCTCCTCGTTTTAGGGAATTGCCCCTATTCTTTCCCCGTCATCCCGACTATTAATTGAGAAATGTTTTTAAGCTTTACAACAATTGTAATAAGAACTCGAAACACCATCCTCACATATTTCTCCTATTTTATTTCGCCAATTATCCTAAACAAAATGACAGATCGCATAATATACTCCCGTTAACGGTGAGTATCCGAGAGATTAAGTTAATGCCATTAGCTATGTCTGATTTTGCAGATGAATATTTTCATCTAATAAAACTGCAGTAGCGTTAAATCTTCATTATAAAATTATCTTGAAGTGTTTATTGTCGGAGATTCTTTGTTTTATATAATTCTAATAATACCCTAAACTAGTATTTCATTAGTGTATCTTTTAATCCCTAATTTAAGAGGATATCTAGCATGGCAAACGTTACTCATGTCTTACTCTAGCAATGGGTATTTACACAAGTTTTCTATTATAGACACACGCGTAACCGTCTACGTCTCCGGGATTAGATTGTGTTTTTCGTATTCTTAATTGAAAGCCGTATTTATAAAATGTGGATGTATGAAAATGCACTTTGTGACTCTTTGCTGAGTTTGTTTGAGGCTGTGGACCCTATACTTGATACTATAAGGGCCACAATGGAGTGTTGGGGTAAGGATCCCATGTGTTTGGTCGAGAGTCTATATTCAGAAATTTGTATGGGACGTTTTGAATTCGTTTGTGTACAAGGTAAACTAAAAATGTACCGGTTGTCCCCAGACTACTGTGGAGTACGGGGACAGGGCCTTACAGAGCCAGATAATATGGGGGAAGACCTTCGGTGGAATATTGAACAAATATAACAAAAACTCAAGTGCCCTCTATTTGTGTTCCTTTAACTGAGCTTTTGTAATTTCTACTTCAGAAATCGGTACATTACCGCTGTTACCGTGTACAGGGGTACAAATGCATAGCCAACAAAAAAGTACATAGGCAATTGATAAAATTAGGGAAGAGATGAGGTTTGTTTTTAAAAATAAGTTGTTTATTGGTAGCCCCTTTAACATAGATTATTACAGATAAAAGTTGAAGAAAATTTAAAATGATATGTAATAATTTATAAATAAACCATGGAATATCAATTTCAGACACAGAAACAGGGAGAAGAAAAATCATCATATAACATTTATTAAAACGGTTAGTCTTATTTTTGCGTAAATAAATAAACAAAATTCTGTAAATACATATAATAAATTTATTTAGACATTATACTTTTTTGAAATATTAGAATAAATAGCGGCATTGTACAATATGTGAGTTAAAATTCATTGTATAATTTGTGAGTTAAAATTGAATCCAGCCGTATCAAGGCTTGTTACAAATGAACGTTTTACAGTTGGAAACTACAGGATATTTGGTCTGTTGACGTTACCGTGGTGATTTATCTTACTTCGCAATTGTTTATTTTTGCATTGCCAACTCTTGTCTGCATCAAGATATAGGGGTGAAATTTAGTAAATAGAAGAACAATTTTACAGTCTATGATACCTCCAACATTTCAGAAATGTTAGAAATCCAAAACTACTCGTAGTCCTCAAGTGTTTATTTTTGTTTTTACCGGGGCAGAAAGTAAAAATAAAACCGACCATATTTTGAGATCGAATAGCAACAGTTCTGAATTTGACATACTAATAATTAACTGGTACCGGACTCGTATTTCCGGATTTGTTACTGTTTTTGAAAACTCACCTCTCAATTTCAACGTCAGTTTTTGAGCTTATGTAAATGTTTATTCGTTAAAGTGATAGAAAACCTTCCAGATTTAGAAATAATTTTAAAATATATCAAAATCCCTTGAGGTCATGTGATACTTGTAGATAAATAAACAAGGTTTGGTATGCCTGTTTGGTGTAGACTGACCGTGGCTAACCCAAGCCCGCCTGTCTCGTGTCTGGGCTTAAATACAGTTACCCTTGCTTGTTCTACAGTTGGTTTCCTACCGATAACCTAGCGGGGTGCTCGATGTGTTCGACTAAAAAACTTATTTCCCAGTGGAGATGGTGTCCACACTTAAGATGATGTTTGGAGTTTTCTACATCTAACGGCCCGGAGGCAACACTTCGTTACTCATATGTAGTGTATGTCTCGGCCCCACGTAGTTGTCCTGTGATTAAATCTGGGGTTGCACCCATTTGAATTACCAATATTTAAAAAAGGAAAAGAACACGCGTTCTTCTTATCCACTCCACCTAGAAATGTTAATATTGCCGCCTCAACAACTAGTAAACAACACAGATCAATCCACAAAAATCTACACATCCACATAACCAACGAATCCACATACCGAACACATGTAGCTATATATCCAACAGAAAATAACGGTTGGGAAAATATTGCTAAATTACACATTGCTTTATTTATCCCTCCATCTAATCCGTCATTTTACCTATCTTTCACAACCATCGTTGCATCCAACAGTTCATATACATTTTTCCAGCAACATTCATCCAGTCTTTTCAATTTATCTATCCATCCTTCCGTCTAACCATTCATCCATCCACGTGCAACAACCATTCATCTTATCAACCCCATTCATACATCACCCATGTGCATCTACCCTGTATAAAACACACATACATGTACATACATAACTGCTATTGTATATTTGTATTTCTATACACGTTTTATGGAGAATGTTTTTCCTTTATCCTGCTCTCTCTATCCCGCGGCCTTACACAAGTCGACAGATGCGATATATCACTGGCCCACCTACGCGCTCATATAAACCCCACACGTGTTCTCACGTACGCGTCATGCATGGCAATCTGTGCATTACGCGATATGTGGTCCAGGTGATGATCGGTGTTATGAATAAAAATCCTGAGAAAGGATTTGTCATAATTTCCAGATTTGTATTTTTTTTGACGTGAATATACATATATATATATACGCCTGAATCAAATTATCTAAACAAAATTGAAATGTTACCTTGATTAACATTCAGCTATACATATTACATGACAGATAATTATTTACACCAACACCCAAGAATGGGCCAGGTAGTTTATTACAATCTCAATAAATACTTAACTGAAGGAAATTTGTGTAAGATGATTTTTTATATAGAAAATGATATCAATACTCCCACGAACGGAAGTCATTAAAAGTATTCTAATAATAACAGAA